ATTAGTACATGCGCACATACAAGCACCTCGGGTGGGGGAGGGGGGATTCCGCGCATGCCTTAAGTATTCAGCGTGGAGGTTTTTTGCACATGCACGACCTGAAGAAGACTTGCTGCGCATGCGTCTACTCAGCCCGAGGGCTGCAGTGATGCGAGTGGACGGCAGAGGGCAGCAGAAAGGGGTCCCAGATGGGGGTGAGGGGGGTCATTAGCATACGCGCAGATACGAAGTCCCGGGCAGGTGGGGGGCGATTCGCGCATGCGTAGAGCTCATCTTAGCGAGATTTTGCACATGCGCACGAGCCTGAGGCGGGAGATGCGCGGGGGCCTGATGCAACGAACCTTCAACGCATGCACGGAGGACTAGCCTGAGAGGTGGGGCTGGGGAGTCTTCCTGCGCATGCACCTAACCAGCCCGAGGGCAGCAGAGGCGAGTGAACGCCAGGGGGCAGCAGAGGCCCCAGGAGTGTCCTGCGCATGCGCAGCACCACGTCTGGACGCCAGGGGGCAGCGGAGACACCGGGTGAGGCCCGGCCGCAGGATCCTCGCGGGGGGGCGGAGAGCACCGACGCCTAGGTCCAAGAAGAGGCAGAGGTGAGGTTTCAACCTTTCTACAAATGTCCTTTTTTTATTCTTTTCATTTTTCCATTTTTATTTGGTTTTTAAGGAAGTTTTTCTTTTTGTATCTAAAACGAACAGGAAAAAAACCAAAGAAATAAAAACAGGAACAATAACAAAAAAAAGCTTCGTGGAGAAGCCAGTGGGGCAGGGCTGGGGACCCTGGGGCATTGGGGGCCCCAGGGGAAGCAGCTACGGCCCCCACGAACCCCCAGAGCAGCAGGGCCTGGGTGCCCCTGGTCCTGGGGCCGCCAGCGGGACCCCTAACCCCGAGAGAAGCCCTTCCCCCCATAGAGCCAGAGGGGGGCACCCCCAGGGAGATGGTGGGCAGGGGGTTACAGGAAGTGGGGGGGGTCACAGGAAGTAGTCAGCCACAGGCTTCTTGGAGGGAATCCCCCTTGTCTCCTGGGGGGCAGCTTCAAAAATGATGAACTCCTTCTGCAGGTGCTCGTCCAGCTCCAAGATGGCTGCCACATTCCCACACCTGTGGGAGGGGGGTCACAGGTCACATGCGGGTGCCCCTTGCTCCCAACCCGCAGCCCCCTGGGCGATGCCCCTGCCCCACCTGTAGCAGTAGTTGGGGGCCGACCAGACTGTGAGCACAGTCTCATTGAAATGCCACTTGTAGCCCTCCATGACGAGCTGGTGTGCCCGGCAGATCATGTCGATGTCATTGGAGGCGTTGAACTGGGCCACCACATCACTGCCAAACAGGTAGCCGGCCCCCCGTGGGCTCACGCCCCAGCCCGTCGTGTCTGCAAGGCAGGGACAGGGCCCGTTACGCGTGGCCACTAGCACCACCCACCCCAGAGCCAGCTGCATGGCAGGGTGCTGTTACAGCCAGCTGCCAGCACCGCCCACCTGCGAGCTGCTCACATCACTGGACTGACCAAGCCCTCCTGGGCAACATTACAGCCTGCTGTTCCCAGCTGTCCCACCCCAGAGCTGGCTGCATTGCTGCCCCCTCCATTGTACCTTCAGGGTCAGACCAGAGCAGGTCACACATGGGGCCGTCGTGGGGCACCTCCTGCTTGCGGTCGATTGTGCGGATCTGGTCTAGCGTCTGGATCGAGGGCGACAGTCCCCCATGCACGCAGAAGATCTGAAAGGGCAGGGAAGAGGGGGATGGGTCAGGCAGGGGAATCCCAGACCAGCCACCACTTTGTTAAACCATTGCCCGCTGGAAAACCCTAGTGTCCGGGCTCCCACTGTTCAGCCCCCTGCTCTTCCCCCACAGGGAACCCAGGTCTCTGGGAGCAGGGTGGGGCACCTTGCCGTCGATGATGGCTGAGAGGCTGAGGTAGTCGAAGATCTCGGTGCAATAGCGCCACACAGTGACGGAGCCGTACTTGCGCAGACACTCATCATAGAAGCCATAGACCTGCGTGATCTGCCGGCTCTCGTGGTTGCCGCGGATCAGCGTGATCCGGTCTGGGTACCGCACCTGTGGAGGCCATGGGGGGGGGGGGGGGTGTTAAACTTGGCCACCAGCACATCCCACCCCAGAGCTGGCTGCTTTCTGCAGCCTGTTACACTCGGCTACCAACGTGCCCCACCCAGAGCCATCTGCAGTGCTCAGGCCTGCGGGCAGCTGGTTCTAGGGTGGGACGCATTGTAGTCAGCTGCCAGCATGTCCCACTCCAAAACCGGCTGACAGCAGATGAGTACAGAAGGGCTGAACAATGCAGCTGGCTCTAGGGTAGAGCAAGTCAGCAGCTGAGTATAACAGGCCCAAGTGCTGTAGCTGGATCTGGGGTGGGATGCGTCAGGGGCCAAGTATAACATCCCACCCTACAGCCCGCAGCACTGTTCAGCCCTATTATACCCGGCTTCACCCCCACCCCCACAAAACCAGCGGCACCGCCCAGACCTGTTATACTTGGCCACTTAAACACCAGGCCCCAGAGGTAGCTGCAGTGCTGGCCCCTGTGGTACCTGGCTGCTGCCACAGGATGCTTCAACCCCAGCCCCAGCCGCCTCAGTGCCTGTGACACCCTAGATCCAGCTCCAGCCTGAAGGCACAAGTCTTCCTGTCCCCAGTGGGGCCCAGCCCAGAGCCGGCTGCATCTGTCCCCCAAGCCTCCCCTGCCAGCTACCCCCTGCAGCCATGTGCAGCTGCCCTGCCCCAGAGCATACCAACCCCAGTCGTGTGCCGTGCCCTGGGGGGGCTGGGGGCATCTACCTTGAGCGCCAGCAGGAGCAGGAAGGTCTCAACGCTGTAGAAGCCGCGGTCCACAAAGTCCCCCATGAAGAGGTAGTTGGTCTCGGGGACGTCGCCGCCCACCTGGGGGGCAGCAGGGGTAAGGGGGGGCCTGCAGT